AAAAAATCTTCAGCTCTTCCCAATCAGAATCTCAATTTCAAAAAGGGGACCTGCTTTACCTGCATAAAACAACAGGAAATTTTCAAATTAAAAATGCAACGTAGGTGTAAAATTTCAGTCAAGAAGAAAGAAGAAATTTAACAAAATTTCAATCTCCATACTACTGAGATTGCCTACACTCTACAGCTAAGTTGCGTAGTCTTCTTCACATTGCAAGAGGAAGAGGAGGCACAATTTTTCTAATGCAAGAGAAAAAAAAAATGGAATCTTGCCCCTGGCTTTCTTAATAGATCTATCAGCTAAGGGACAAGTGACATGTTCAGATTTCATATACCTAGTAAGTGTCCGAGCTTCTCAAAAGGGATTCACGGATGTTGACTGCGAAGAAGATGATTTGGAATACTAAAACGCTGAAACCCTTACACAAATTCAAGAATTCCAAGTGCACTGCCATCGTCTTCACTCCTCCCGCCGGCACTTTGATTTGGGTGTAATTTTGCCAAGAGAATCGTCTTCATTTGAATCTACGGAGGACCTGATTCTCGCCTGACCACTTCCTCTACCACCGCTGGCCGATTTCCGGCTATCAACTACGTATACGGTATACTGCACTACTTAATACATCAGGTTTTCCATTGCATTGCAATTGCAGAGAAAACTGAGTCTAGTGAGTTAAGTAACTTTAATTTTTTTATTATATCCTTTTCCATTACAAGTTTAAAAGATAAATTTGTAAATTTAAAATTAATTTAAATCTTTCCTTCCTTCCTTTCCTTTTACTTTAATTATCCAAATATAAAATAATACAATCCTTCCCTTCCCTTCCCCTTTCTCATTTTTATTTATCCAAACAAAATTAATACAAATTATTTCCTTCTATTTTCTTCCCTTCCCTTTTTTTCCTCCCCCTCCATTTCCTTTTATTTTCCTCCATTCCCCTCCCTTCCCTTCCCTTTACTATTTTCTATCCAAACAAGGGCTAAGGGAGGCCAGGAAGACGGATGTAGTTGTGGGCTGGGTTTTGTTTGAGCTTAAATCAGCCCAAACTGAAACATGGACCAAAATCTTCAAATCAATGGGCCAAAATCCAAATACTGAATTACAAAAATGTATCTTTTGGATATTATGCAGACTGAAATACAGAATTGATCACAAAAAATGTATCAAGAATCAAAAGAGAAAAATAGAAGGGAGTTCATTTGGCGTAGTTGGAGTTTATTGTTTGTGCATAAGTGACTTCCAAACCAGCCTGTGAAGGGCAAATATGAAGAGTTGGCTCAGATCAGATTTTACAGACGTCTAGAAATTTAGAATAATGAATTCTAGATATTAAATCCTAACTGGTCATTGGTGACATGAGTAACCAAACAAATTCACATTTTCCTTAGATATTAAATAAGGGGCACATGAGAAATTTTATGGGTGGTCAATTTAAACTAGTTACTCAGTAAAATGCAAAGGAATGAAGCCCATCTTATTTAGAATGGCTTACATAGCACCACAGCAAGTGTGCCAAAAGAATTTCGGAGCTTATGGGCAAG